TAGGCAAAACAAAGTTGCACATACCCTTTCCCCCAGGCCCCATGGTGAGTATGAGAATGACAAACCTTGTCAAGAAGAGAGTTTGAGGATACTTCAGTTTGTTTCCAGTCATCTTGCTTCTGGTCTGTGCCCCTTTGAAACAGGCGACCTCTCAGAAACACACCATGGGCAATGAAGAGGGATATATACCACCCTGTTTAATAGAATGTCTTGCTATTCACTCTAATGCCATTTCTGAAGTGTCCAATGTAGAAGAGTCATCTTACGGTCTTACCACTGTTCTTAAGTATTGCAGCACAGAATTAGCTGATCTGCAAAGAAAGGATCCAATAATTTGTAGATTCCTTAACCTTATAGAGTTGGGTGAGCCTGCACAAGCTAATCTCAAAGCACAATCTGCTGAATTTTGCTTTATGCTCAAGGAGATGAACTGCTTTGAAATGGCAGATGGTCTGTTATACAGGTGATGACAATGTGACCACAGACCTGCTTACCAGTCTGTCTTACCTTTTGTGTTGAGGTCAATAGTTCTTGATAGCCTTCACGATGAAATGGGACACCTCAGGTTTGAATTGGTCAGAGTGAGGTTTTATTGGCCGAAGATGTCATCGGACATTGAGACTCAGATCAGAACCTGTGGAAGATGTGTGAGGAGGAAAGTCAGTCAGAGAAAGCAGGACCACTGGTAAATATACAGACCAGTAGACCTATGAAACTGAATGGAATTTTTGTCCCTGGAACCGGACAGTAATAATACAAAAGATTTTCTGATAATCACTGACCATTTTACAAAATATGCTGTCGCTATACCCACAAAAGACCAAAAGGCCAGTACCATTGCCAGATGCCTCTAGGAATAATTTCTTGTCCAAATCCTGCAGAGCGCTATAACCGCACCCTTCTGAGTATGTCGGGAACATTACAGGACAAACAGAAGATGAAGTGGTGCAAACTTGTGAAACCTCTTACTTGTGCATATAATTGCACGAGAAATTATGTTACTGGGTTCTCACCTATTGAAGTCATGTTCGGTCGTCAACCCCAATTGCCTATTGACTTCGCATTTGGATTGCCAATTAGACACTGTCCAGAAGAAACCCAGGACAAGAAGTAGTTCTGTCTGGCCGAATGAGGAGATATCTTACATTGAAGAGGAAGATGATCTTGTCAATTCTGTGGACATTCCTATTATGGAAAGGAGGTTTATTAAAGTTTATGAAACTGATGGAGTTCAAGCTGATGGAATTGTAAAGTCAGTTGATGAAAGGGAACAACCTACTGTATATCACAGATCCTACCAGCCCTAACTGATTTTTACCCTGACCGAGTTGCAGAAGATCAAGGGCAGATGGGACAGTCTTTATACTCACCTTTGTCAGAGATGTTTCACCCAGGGGAAGAGGGAAAGATGTCAGAGCCACTACTTGAAGTCCCTTTGGAACATGACTATTATGTTCCTTTGTTAGTCCTATTAGAAAGACAGAAGACAGATCAAAATCAGGGAGGAAGCAATCAACAAACTGATGTTAATGATGATGTACCTATAAGATTCAACAACTGCAGATCATGATGTCCAAGAAACTGGCAAAAATCTTCACAGGTATGAAGCTTACATACCCAATTCTGGGTATCCCCCTTGTTTATTTTGCTCAGAAATTATTGAAGGGTTTCAAAAAATGTCAATTGACATAGGGAGCATTAATATTTCTGAGGATGACATGAAGCAACTCATGTTAGTTTAGAGCGGGTGGATGTAACCCAGTTACAAAATGTAAGATTTAAATTTAAAATAGGAAAAATCTATACTTAAGTTACTATCTCTCTAAGCCAATCAAAATGCTGAATTGCATGCTGTCCCGCCTTGCAGTTTTGCTCATTGGTTGAATCGGCTCAGTGCAGGTTAGGTCCAGACCACACCAGACAGAGAAAGCACATCTTATTGCTGATTGAAGGAAAAGTTTTGTAAACGTGTGTTGGACATAATACATATCGATTTATTTTCCATTTCCCTTGTACTGTGGAATTTACAGTATAATTTTAATGTTTGTAATTAATATAATGGGTTTTTTTTCATTATTTTGTCAGAAGAATTAACTGAAACGCATTAGTTTTTGTTGATGTTCTCACATGCTGTATTCATATCTGTAACATATGGAAGTTATTTTCATAGAAACTGTAACCCTTAAGCCTAACCGATAATGTAAAAACAAACTGTAACAAAGTTCATAGCTCAGGGAAAAATGAGGCAGGAACTGGCGAACATTTAAACATAAAACTTTAATTATCAAATAAACAAACACAAAATGAAAGTAAAATCGTTCCACTCCCACGGCTCTCGGCCCCGCCCCACTCGTCACACAAAATGTTTTACAGTTACCTGTTTTGTAAATGCAGGTCGGGTTTTTCCACAACGAGGGTTTTTCATTGTTGCTATGGTGAAAATTGTAGAATATTAGATGACGAGCCACCCATTTGGATTTTCTGGATTTCCAGTTAGACTTTTAACTCTGAAGTTCTGAGAAGTTCATGCGGTAGAACTGTTACCAACAAAGGAATTAGCAGAGAGTGGACAACATTTTGTGTTGCTTTGCTGTTTTTGAAAGACTACATGGATTGCCGAACTGGTTGCACTTGATTTACATACACTGATAAATGCACACACCAACATTCATTTAAAAAAAGGGTTTTATTTCATTTTGTTTGTACACCAGCTATATTCTATTGTTACTCTGCACCATATTTTCTACTAAAGCTTGTGAATTTGTCTATTCGTTGTGTTACATGATCTTACTTGAACCTCTTACAAACCTAGTGCTTGTGTATTTGCCTATAGAAGGGTTACACATCCAATGTCTTTCCTTGGCACCATATCACACCTTCTACCAGCCACAGTTATGTAGTAGGAAAAAAAAGTGTTTTATTAGGGTTTTCTTTGTTCTTCTGGTTATTTGGGTTTTAACTTTTTCATGAATTACTAAAAAATTACAATAATGCAGTGAGTATCAATAAATAACAATGAACAACATTACAACATTTATTAGGAACCTTTATAAATATACACTACAGTTCAAAAGTGTAGGGTTATAAGATCTTTTATATATTTTTTTATTTTATTTTTAAAGAAGTCTCTTATGTTGGACAGCACTTAATTTATTTGCTCAAAAATACAGTAAAAACAGCAATACTGTGAAATATTATTATAATTTAAAATAACAGTTTTCTGTGGTTTCTGAATAAAAATATTACTTTAAATAAAGAAATAAATACATACATAAATATTAATTCGACTGACTCTGAACCTTTGAACAAAAGTTTTTTTTTTTTATTCACTGCTAATACATTAATGTTAATCTTAAATACCTGTATAAATGTTAAAATTGTGTATTCAGAAATCAACATATCTACATTAATAAATGGTACATGCAGTATGAAGTACTGTTGATTGTTAGTTCATGAAGCTTAATACATGAACTTATGTTAACAAATTAAACCTTATTATAAAGTGTGACTAATGCCTTCAAGGATAACTTCTTATGCATGTGTTTTGAAGCACCACATTGTGCTGGAAACAATGTTAGCATGCAGAGACTCTTAGGACCATGTTGTGTTTGGAATTAACAAGTCTCCGAATTAAGAATTCGAAATGAAAGTCTTCTAAACGGAAAAGCATGTCAGTGAAAAAGAGATAGATCTACCTCTCAGACTGTCCATTAAAATATAAAAAGACAGGACAGCAATATCATAGCAGTTAGTCCCCATTATCCATTTAAAAATGGCATTATGCTATTCATTCATCTTAAGATGAACAGAAAGACTCCTTAGCAGAGGCCGACACAACACACACTCCCCTGACCTTTTGCCCCCTGGAAAGGTCAAGCCATCATCATAAGTCAGATTTGGATGTATGAAGTGTCATTAACCTCCACCAGAGTGAGCATGTGTTAAGTACGCTCTCCTTGAAATGCATCAAAATTGCCCCGACCACTGGAGCTTATGATTCAGCTACATGCAGGAACATTTTTCACAACCCTTGTCAGTGTCAATGGGCAGTGGGGAGGAACCCATCTAGACTCTGTAGGGATGAGAAACACTGACCCACTGCGTCAACACTGACACCATGTCATCTCAGCAATGTCTGGAGCCAAACCAAAGTAGTAGGATAGGCTGTGGGCTCACTGTACTATCCAAATGTGATACGCTCCTTTTAAAAGTATTGATAACCTATTAGTGCCCTCCTTTTGTGTATACTAGGGCAGGTACACTACTGTTCAAATGTTTGGGATTGATAATATGTAAATATATTTAAAAATGCAATTTAGTCCTGTTAGAGTAAAGCTGAGTTTTCAGCAGCCATTACTCTGGTCTTCAGTGTCACATGCACATTCTGATATTACATCCTAATACACAGATATGGTGCTCAAGAAACTTTTTTTTCACTATCAATGCTGAAAACAGCTATGCTGCTGCTTCTTCGTCTTATTTATTTATTTACTGACTATTCCATTTCTGGCTCTTTTGTTATGGTGTAACAAGTGATTGGGCGCATATATGCAAACTTGTTAGGGCCTATTCTGCGAGGTGTTAAGTTTCATGGATTTCAGCTTTAATAGCGTGCCGATTCATTCAAGGTAGGCTGATTTACATGCCATATTGCACTTTATGATGCCAGTGGCTGAACTTGTGTACCACCTGAGAATGCTACTGTTTTACTTCCTCACCCTGAAAACACTGTTTGGCTTTCTCTTGTGTGCCCCTACTGGAGCATTTTGAATTGATTTTCACACTTTTAGTCACTCTGCTTCCAGTCGTATTGCTCAGTTGGTTTAGTTTGCTATTTGTACAGTCATCGCATTTAATTTGCCTGTTTGCTACAACCTATCATTTAATATTGTTGTTGTTTCTTTTAAAGGCATTGGCCTCTTTCACATTAGTTTATTTTTTGTTTATTTTACACTTATTTTTTTTCCCCTTTTTCACTACACCCATGTGCTTTACCCTAGCTATTTTCTGGTCTGTATTAAGCTGCCTTTTCACTATAATGTAAACATTATGGCACAGTTCTATATATAAAGTTGGATATATACCCCCCCGGACCCCCCAATACAGTAAAAATACACATTTTAGAGTGGCCTTTTATTGTGGCCAGCCTAAGGCACACCTGTGTAATAATCATGCTGTCTAATCAGTATCTTGATATGCCACACCTGTGAGGTGGATGGATTATCTCGGCAAAGGAGAAGTGCTCACTAACACAGATTTAGACAGATTTGTGAACAATATTTGAGAGAAATAGGCCTTTTGTGTACATAGAAAAAGTCTTAGATCTTTGAGTTCAGCAAATGAAAAATGGGGGCAAAAACAAAAGTGTTGCGTTTATAATTTTGTTCAGTGTAGTACATCCAACTTTAGTCAAGTCAAGTCACCTTTATTTGTATAGTGTTTTATACAATACTGGTTGTGTCAAAGCAGCTTTACAGTCTCAAACAGGGAAATAGTTTGTCAATGATGCAAAAGACAATAACAGAGTCATTTTTTCCAGCTAAAGTCAGTTCATTGATGATTCAGTGATGTCATCATCTAGTTCAGCTCTCTTCCAATAGTGTCTGTGCAATCAGTCAAGCGCCCCCAACTAAGCAAGCCAAAGGCGACAGTGGTAAGGAACCAAAACTCCATCGGTTGACAGAAACGGAGAAAAAACCTTGGGAGAAAACAGGCTTAGTCTCCTTGAGCCTGACGAAACCAGCATGGCGTGGTTTAATTCCAGGCTGCAACATAGGTGCAGAGGTCTTGTCTGGTTCCCGTGGTCTTGTGCCGATGGTCGTCGAGGTGATGAGGTCTTCGCAGGGGATCTGTCTCTGGAGTTCATCTAGTTGACATGGTCTCTGCTGACATTCAGGGCTGTAGAGGTCATCTCTAAGTGCTGACCCACCATCTGATCTGGATAAAGACTGGATCCGTATGGCTACGGTGACCTCGGAATAAGAATGAAAGAGACTAATAGTAGCATATATGCCATTCTTCTTACGTCCCCATTTCTGGTTGACCTAATTAATGCAGCCTAACAATCCTTTAATGGATTTAAATTATAGATATGTGATAGTGTATTATGTGTATGTCAAGTTAAAGAGATGGGTCTTTAATCTAGATTTAAACTGAGTGTGTCTGCCTCCCGAACAACACTAGGTAGATTGCACCAGAGTTTGGGCGCTAGATAGGAAAAGGATCTGGCACCCGCAGTTGATTTTGATATTCTAGGTATTATCAAATGGCCAGAGTTTTTAGATCGCAGCGGACGTGAAGGACTATAATACGATATGAGCTCGCTCAAATATGTAGGAGCTAAACCATTCAGGGCTTTATAAGTAATTAGCAAGATTTTAAAATGTATTCATTGTTCAATAGGGAGCCAGTGCAGAGTTGACAGAACCGGGCTAATATGGTCCTACTTCCTGGTTCTAGTAAGAACTCTAGCTGCTGCATTTTCCACCAACCAGCAAATAAAGCATTACAATAATCTAACCTTGAGGTCATGAATGCATGAATTAAAGTTTCTGCATTTGACATTGAGAGCATAGGTCGTAATCCACATATATAACCACACACAGCGATATACTACAAAGCAAATCTCAACTGTTTGGTTGCTAAATTATAACCCATAAAACCAGTGCCGATCCTAGACTTCTGGGGGCCCTACGCAAAACTGTCGGGGTGGGGGTTATGAATGAATGAAACGCCTTTGTCCGTGTTCACTCCATCTCGAATCGCGCTCACGGAAAGCACTTGAGAAACAGTATCTCTTCCGCGGCTCGGTACGCTTTCAACGCAAGAGACTGTATGACATTCACCTTACATGATTTGACTGATTTTTACTTAGAAAGGGCGACAGCTCACCGCATTAAAAGAAATGAACATTCATGTTTTTATAACCGCTGGCCAAATTCAAAAACTAAACTAAAATTAAATCATCTTTGAGAGCAAGGGGGCCCCCTGGTGTTTCGGGGGCCCTACGCAGCTTGCGTACTTTGCGTATAGGGAGGATCGGCTCTGCATAAAACAAATAAATTCTAAGATATTATAAACATTATAACAGTAACTTCTGTGGCGCTGCTTTGAAACAATGCATATTGTGAAAAGTAATATACAAATAAATTTGATTTGCCTGTCTCTGACAAACGATACATTCATTCCCAAATAATAGTAGTACAGAAGCTGCACATAGTTACAATAATAAGAATCTGCAAAATATCGTGGTACAATTTGAGCTACCAATCTTTGGAAATAAACCTGCTGATACTTCATTAAATAATGATGAAGTGTCATTTGCTGTCAACAAGCTGTTAACAGTGGAAGTGACAGAATTATACAATGTGACGCAAACATCCCGTTTCATGCTTCTTTCAACCCTCTCCTCTCTTTTATGCCTCACTGGACAATTGTGGCCATTTATTTTGTTCTTCGTATATTTTCAGATTCAAAATAGGCAATTTGATTTTGATAGCAATTTGTATGTAAAGTGAGAGCCTCATGCATTCTGATATCTGCCTTCTTGCTGTTTGCTGATGCAGCTTTTATTTCCAGAATAATCCATGACATCCCCTCTGTGAATTGTGGATCTTTGAGCTTTGAGGGTGTTTTAAACAGATAGCTAATTTTTCAGTGAAAATATCAGGCATTTTCCAAGGCAAACCTCATTTTCAATTCACTATTCTCTTGACTCTGTTTCTCTTTAATACAATTGGTAATTGTGACTATGCAATCTTGCAAAGAAAAATGTAATTGCTTCCTAACTTTTGTCACTTCCTCTCTCTTTCCCTTTTCTCTTTTCTTCTAAATTATTTTCATCTGTTATTTATGGTAGTATTAAGCCAAAAGCATCTGTTGCCTCTGAGAATTTATGATGCATTACTTCAGTGGCTGAGGGCAAGCCATTCTGTCTGATGAAACATACTTCAGATCATCAATTAGAGCTGTGGAGTGGAGCCTGATTTTTATGTCTAGGAAATGATTGGGGCAAAATTCAAAAATTTCACTCATTTAATAAATCAAGACAAATCATTGTATTATGTATGTAAACACTAGGAATTACAGAGGCCAAAATTGTTTCACCACCTTTTATGTGTTGATTTCATGGACTGGTTAAAAGGCCTGAAGGCCTTGAGAGGTCTTGTTATCAACTGGTGAAGTTTCTACTCAACATTTTGTGGTCTTAATAACTGTTGCTCTTACTTAATAAAAATTCCTCTGCAGTTCTGTGGTTTCCATGATGCATGAAAGTCTTTTTAATCCTCCCCTGTGTGCTCAAAACTGAGCAAGCCTGTAAACATGCATCCTTCAAGAAACTTCCCCACAGCAATTTATGTTATATCAATAATTAAGTGACACAAATTAGATGAAGAAATTAGAAAATATAAAAACAGATCTATAAAACAGATGTAAAATTGCTCACACAGAGTTGTTTTCACTTCCCAGCAAATAAATAATTAATCTTAAAACGGTGTCCTGCTGATGCATGTCAGACTCTGTTCCATGTATTGTGTTGTGTTTTTCCTCCCCCACGTGCTCCATGTTTATGATTATGCCCATATTTGGTTTTCCTGTTCCTGTTCCCATTTGAGTTCCTTTAGTTTCAGCTGTGTTCCTTTAATCCCCTTGTTAATTCCTTGATTAGTTCCATAATTTAAGCCCTGTGTGTTTTCATGTCCAGCGTCCAGAATTGCTCGTCTTACCCCAGTGCTACGTGTGCTTTCCTGGTGTTTTGTTCAATAAAGTTCTGTAATGATTGGAATCTCCTACGTCTTCGCTTCTCCTCGCTCCAGCACAGTAGGCACGCATGACAATGCATCATATAGGGTTGCAGTTAACAAGTAAACACAGTAAAAGGAATGGTATATTTTAAAATAATATATTGTGATGTATCAATTATCCTGCTACTGTCACGGGTTGCTACTGTGAGGAGCACAGAGCGAGGATCGAGGAGACCAGGAGTACAAAACAAAGGAGTTTAATGCTTTATTCAGGGAATCACACGTAGCACAAGGAGTTGAGAAACAATGCCAGACAAGGGAGAACAGAACGGGCTAGAACTAAATAGGGCAGATAACGAGGGGCAGACAGGTGATGGGGATAACTAATAACAAGGAACAGGTGATACTATTAATGGGAAAAGGGACTGGAAGGACCAAATCAGGATAACAGGAACTAAACGGGAACATACAAGTGACAGATTGCCCCACTCCCGGACGGCGAAGGACAGTACCATCAGGGAGGGGGGGGCGGGCGCCCTGGAGACTGGTGCAGGACTGGAACAGGGCGGAGACAAGGAGAGCCTACAGGGCGGATCAGGGAGCCATGGCGGAGCAGGGGACTCAGGAAACCATGGCGGATCCTCCATGGCCTTAGCTGGCTCGGCCATGGGTATATGCCCCCCCCCCTTTTCTTGGGGAAATCTAGGAATCCTGGGGGGCGCTCTGGAGGAGCGGGCACTAGATGGTGCTCTAGAAAGTGCTTACGAGGAGCTCTGGGGCTGGAGCCCTCCCTGGGCTTGACTGGGGATCAGGAGCCCTCCCTGGGCTTAACTGGGGAACAGGAGCCCTCCCTGGGCTTAACGGGGGATCTGGAGCCCTCCGTGGGCTTAACTGGGGAACAGGAGCCCTCCCTGGGCCCAACTGGGGAACAGGAGCCATCCCTGGGCTTAGCGGGGGATCTGGAGCCCTCCGAGGGCTATACTCGGGAACAGGAGCCCTCACTGGACTGAACTGGGGATCAGGAGCCCACCCTGGGCTTAACGGGGGAAACAGGAGCCCTCCCTGGGCTTAACGGGGAAACAGGAGTCCACTCGGGAACAGGAGCCCTTCCTGGGCCGAACTGGGGATCAGAAGCCCTTCCTGGGCTCAACTCAGGATCAGGAGCCCTTCCTGGGCTGAACTGTGGATCAGGGTAGTGCTTACGTGGTGCTGGCACTGGAGGTGAGTTTTGGGATTGGAGCAGACACTGGAGCGAGCTCTGGGGCTG